TACTTCTCAAAAGTTTTTTATCTATAAATTATTAAATTATAATATATTTTTTGAATAGTTGTTCATAAATTTTAATTCGCAACAAAAAAAATTATTTTTGTTTAGAATTGACTAATATTCATGTTATATATTTTCTTAAATGTGCCGCTTGTTGAAAAAACGAATTATAAAACAGAATTGTAATTTGGTTGGTGTGAATCGGATTTGAATTTAATTTGGACTATTCAGATTAACGGTTTAAAAATCGAAATCAATTTGTATTAATTTGATTGGATCAAATCAAACGAATTCATCGAAACGAACACTCCTAATTGTCCTACAGAAACATATTTACAAAATATATATCTAATTTGTTTGATATAAATCTAATAAATATAATTTTTTTGTTAAACTTTTTTTTTGTAAAAGATAATATCTTACGATATTTAATAATATTTTGTTTAATTGATACGATCTTTTTCTAAAACATAATATTTTATCATGATATAAAATTTTATTTAAAATGATAATTTTTTGTTAACAAAAAAACTTATTAGCACAAAAAGATGAAATCTTTTATCAATTCAATTATTTTGATATTAATTTTAAAAATAATAAAAATTAAATATGATTAGCTGTGAAAACATTAAAAATGTAATTATATATATATATATATATATATATATATATATATATATATATATATATTAAAGCACATTGACTCTTTCAACAGTATGGTTTTTGGTTTTTGAGTTTGGCCACACAATTTTCAAGTTTTGATAATTTTAGTCCCCATTGTTTATTGTTTCTCAATTTCGTCACACAATTTTTACAGCATTTCTATGAAAAGAACTCTTTATTTGGTTTTAGAGTTTGGCCACATAATTTTCAGGTTTTGATAATTTTAGTCCCCATTGTTTATTGTTTCTCAATTTCGTCACACAACTTTCACCGTCTTTTTCTAAAAAGAATGACATGTGCAACACACGGACATTTTCCTACTTTTTCTAAAAAGAATGATCCGTGCAACGCACGGACCTTTTCCTAGTTTGGATAAATTCTCATGCCATCTCATTCAATAAACAAATGTATAAATATAAAATACAAGATATATGGGCGTGTAAACAAAAGAGCCAAACTAAAAATACAAATAAGACAAAATTGCAAAAATGGTCCCTGTGGTTTGTCAATTTCTGTGTGTAAGGTCTAAAAATAAGTTTATTAGCAAAAAATGTCCCTATTTGATGGTTTTGTTGCGGTTTTGGTCCCAACCTTGTTAAGTTTAACAGCAGGACTGTTAACTTTTTGGCAAATGACGGATTTACCCCTGAGACCATTTCTGCAGCTTTATCTTTTTACCAAACTATAAGGACCAATTACGCAATTTTTCTTTTTCATATTATTGAATTATTATATATTAATTATTTTAATTACTTTTTTCTTATTGTATTATTTTTTTATTGGATTATTATATATTAATAAATTTTATTTTTAATATATTAATAAATATTACTTTTTATATTAATAAATTTTTTTTTTATTTTTTTTTGAATTTCTTCTTTATTGCATTAATTCATTTTTATTATTATTATATATTAATAAATATTATTTTTAACATATAATATTTATCTATTAGTAGTAGTGTTACTTTTTTGGATTATTAAATTCATTTAATTATTTTTTTTTCATTTTTTTTTATTTCGTTAATCTTTGATTGGTTATTATTCTATATTAAATAAATATATTTTTAATATATTATATTTAAATATTAATAAATATTACTTTTTTATTATTAATTTTTTAATTGATTTTTAAAATTTTTTTATTGTATTAATTATTTTTTATTGGATTATTATATATTAACAAATATTATTTTTAGCATATAATATTTATCTATTAGTAAGTGTTACTTTATTGGATTATTAATTATATTTAATTAATTTTTTAAAAAAATTTTTTATTGCATTAGTTCTTTTTATGGATTATTAGTTTAAATTTATTATTTTTATTTATAATAAATAATATTTTTTAATTGTTTTTTAATTTCTTTCTTTATTGTTTCAAATAAAAATACCAAAAAATTTCATCCACCCCACATTCTCTAATTTATTTTAAATATTTGGAAGATAATATATTTTGGACAACACCACCACCATCACTCAGTCACAACAAACCACTATCGGGCCGTCTCTAACTCTGTTACTATATATACAAATATATAAGTTCAGTAATTATTCACGAAATGAGATCATCGTGTGTATTTTTGTTTTTGTGTATTCACATATATCTAAATTTGTTATATATTTCAATAAAGTTATATTTTAACTTATGATTTTGACATATATAATTACCTAAAAATAGTTTACCATTAATTACCAAATCTGAGTGTTTGGTATTTTTATTTGAAACAATAAAGAAAGATTAAAAAAAATAAAAACAATTAAAAAAATATTATTTATTATAAATAAAAATAATAAATTTAGTTTAATAATCCAATAAAAAGAACTAATGCAATAAAAAAAGTAAAAAAATAATTAAATAAAATTAATAATCCAATAAAGTAACACTTACTAATAGATAAATATTATATGCTAACAATAATATTTGTTAGTATATAATAATCCAATAAAAAAGAATTTATGCAATAAAAATAAATTAAAATAAATCAATAAAAAAATTAAAAATAAAAGAGTAATATTTATTAATAATAAATATAATATATTAAATATATTATTAATATATAATAATCCAATCAAAAGAATTAACAAAATAAAAAAATTAATTAAATGTATTTAATAATTCAAAAAAGTAACACTTACTAATAGATAAAAATTATATGTTAAAAATAATTTTTATTAATATATAATAACCCAATAAAAAAGAATTAATGCAATAAAGAAGAAATTCAAAAAAAAATAATTCAAAAAATTAATAATAAAAAAAAGTAATATTTATTAATATATAAATATAATCTTAAAATCTATTTATTAATATATGATAATCCGATAAAAAATAATACAATAAGCAAAAAGTTAAAAAGAAAAAAGTAATTAAAATAATTAATATATAATAATTCAATAAAATGAAAAAGAAAAATTGCATAATTGGTCCTTGTAGTTTGGTAAAAAGATAAAACTGCAGAAATGGTCCCAGGGGTAAATCCGTCATTTGCCAAAAGTTAACAGTCATGCTGTTAAACTTAACGAGGTTGGGACCAAAACCGCAACAAAACCATCAAATAGGGACCTTTTTTGCTAATAAATTTTTTTTTGGACCTTACCCCACAGAAATTGACAAACCACAGGGACCATTTTTGCAATTTTGTCTACAAATAATAATACACTAACTATAACTTGCTAAAAAAACATATGTTAATAATAGGGAAAATGACCTTTTAGGGTAATAAAGTCTTCCACAAGTATTCATTTGGTCACTTTTCTTTTTTTTTTTGTATTCCATTTACCATTTAACTTGTTATTGTCGTCTTAATATGCCATTATGACCGGCTAACATAAGTTTAGCCGGTCAAAATTAATTTTCCGGTTAGCCTATAAAATTTCCGGCCAAACATAAAATTTTCGATGAACACTATGAATTTTCTGGGCAATTTGAACACACACACATATACACAAATCTGAAATCTAGATTTTTTTGTGGTGTGATTCTTAAAATCGATTTCAAAACCAAGGGTTGAAGAACTCACAAGAATCTAGATCCAAACCCAAAACTTGAAAATCAAAATCCCTAAAATCTAGGGTTCGTTTATTTCTAGAACTCAAGAACTAAAGAAATGAAGATCTTAATTTCTTGAAGCTCTTACCCAGAAAACGATTCAAAATGTGTTGTGTTAATCGATTTCAAACCCAAAACCTGAAGCTCTTCATCTGTTTTTATTTTTGGAAGACACGACTCAAGAACACAAAGAACTGAAACCTTCGATTTCAAAGGTTGCGTTTATGGGTTTTCAAGAACAATAAGAAACCGTTCGATCTGTGTAGCTTTTTGGTGGGTATTCTTGAAGTTCGAAGACTTATAAACACACACACACACACTCGTCGATTTCTTGGCTTGTTCTTGAAAAACACGAACAAGATGCCATATTTTGTTTGATTTCAGATGAACTAGATGTAAGTGTGTTTTCTTGAAATCATTTTTTTGATATGAAATCGTTGGGATCTTTGAAGATTTGTGTGCAAACAAAAGTGTTTCTGAACAGGTGAAGATGAAGAACACATAAACATTGCTGAGACAAATTAATTTATTGAACTTGAGAATTTTGATTTCTGGGTTTTGTTGGACACGATGAAGATGAACACCTCTCAGATCCGACACACACTTTCAATCCTTCGCTTTCTAACCTTTAACCCTTCGCTTTCTTGACATTCAAGCTCACTGATGAGCAAACACAATCATTTTTTGTGTGTTCTTGAACATGAACCAAGAAATTAAACATTGACGAAGAACATGAAAACTAAAATCGTTCACAGAAACAAATGAACAAATGGAAGTGAGTGTTCTTGAAATCGTTTTTAGATCGGAAATTGTTGCTAAAAGCATTTGGTCAGAAACTCGCCGGAGAAGACGACTGGAGTGACATACTCGTGGGAAACCTTCAATACCCGGTAATAATGGTATCTTTTGAACATTTCCAACAAGATCAATGGTAAATGGAATACCAAAAAAAAAAAAAAGTGACCAAATAAATACTTGTGGATATTACCCTAAAAGGTCATTTTCGAATGGGTTTAATTACATAAAAGCAACAACAAAAATTTGAATGGACAAAATTTACGTGTGAGAAAAAAATTTACGCAGTGCTAAATACTTTAAAAGGTATGGTCACTTACATGGGTCCCACCTTAATATTAAGAGGATTTCAAACGGTGAAACAACCGAATGCTTTATTGTTTCTTATTTTATGGATATATTTACATGAAACGACCTATGAAGAAACGACCTATCATCTATTAAATAATGATAAAACGTCTTTTCCTTAAAGCTGTATTTTTTATAAAATAAAATTAATAGTTCCACAAGTTGTCACACTCAGAAGAGTTCCCCGACGACCATTCAACAGTTGTCGGCTGCCGGGGGGGGCTCACCATCATTCCCTCCGCCATATCCACCAAAAGATTCGGCATATCAAAAATTGCTTCTTCATCCATGAACTCATCATTCTGATGCGTCTCCCCCTCGTCACCACCTTGTTTCTTGTGGTCATCTTCCTTTTCCCTGAACAACTTCATCAACTCCGCCGCTTCCCCCGCTGCACTCCTTATCAAGGCAGGTTCCGGTGACTCTGGCACTCGATAAGATCCAACAAACTCTTGGAAATTCAACATTGCATCACCACCCTTGAGTGCCAGAGCCGCTACGTCATAAGCTGCTGCAGCCATCTCCGCAGTCGGATATGTTCCAAGCCATATACGGGAGGATTTACGTGGTTCACGAATCTCCGCCACCCACTTCCCATTCCGGCTACGTATCCCATGAAGGGTAGGGTGTTTTCCGGAGGCGCTTGAGGAGCCTCCGGTAGAGAAGGAGGTGTTCATGGTGCACGTAAGTGGCGTTTCCCTCGCATCCATGGTTTAGATTTAATGGTATTCGTAGTTCTTGAACGTTACAACCTTATGCATGTGTGTGTCAGTGTGTGCATATATATATATATATATATATATATATATATATATATATCTATATATATATATATATATATATGTGAGTATTTGTGTGTGAAAAAAGGTGATCAAACAAAGGGGAGATTGTGTGTGGTCAATACATGCACATGTATATGTCAATATATAATCACATTGTAAAATCTTGACGCATTTAATTTATTAATTAATAATTATGTTTTGTATCTGATAAAGACTTGTTTGTTATTCAAACATATGAGACCATGTGATTTAGAAAGAAAGTAACAAAATACAAAAGGTATACAAATGTTACGAGATAAAACTTGTGATATCATTCAATAATGTCCTAGAAATTAATTAAGAAAATATATGTATAAGGATAGTTCTATATATATTTTGATACTCTAGCCAATAACTCAAAATTAATTCCACCAAAATTATTATCTAAAATATCGTGCAAATGATAAAAATTACTGACCAGATTGGCCAACAGATTATTTAAATATCATATGCAAACACCAAACACAACTTTCATGGATCGTTCTAGAACTTCTTAAGTCCTTGTTGATTGAAAATAAAGTTCGACTAAAATTAATAGGGATTTTTTACATTCGGAGGATGCACAATATGTTTAATATAAGTTAGGAAGGATTGTGCTTCCTTTATAAAGTTTGATAATAGTCTTAATCACAAATAACTTCGATTTTAAAGGAAAATGTTTTTTTTGTCTACCAAAAAAATATGTCATACAGACGTCATATAAACATTCGTCATTCTTGTCAATATTTACCTATAAGTAGGATATGATGTTATTATTGTCTATCAATAAAAAGAAAGATGTTAATTGAAAATATCAATTAAATATGTTGGTGTGTCTCTTCTTTGCTGGTTATTAATTTTTAGGGTTTAATTTCTCATCTACACATATGTGCCGCTCAAAATTACCGATGGCAACAAAAAGACTCGAGGGTCAATGTTTGCCACCGACAACACATGTCAAATCAGATTACCGACGATAATTTTATTACCACACAGTGTAGTCTTATACTCTTGTGTTTGTTGTTTCGTTCTTAATAAATCATTCAGTATAATTTTGAGAAACATGTATAATATATACTAGTATATATCAATAAGTATTGAAAAAACAATACATGATGTTGTGAACCTAAATATATTAAATTTACATAAATGAAATATAAAACCAGATAAATTAAGGAAATTAAAATTAATAGATTTTTATCAATTAAATTTTGTTGAAATTAATATTTTTTTTAAGTCAAGTCGACTTTCGTGTTTGAAGCGATTGTCATCATCAGATGGATTATCATTTCTAGAAAAACATATAAAAGAAAAAAAAATTGTTAACATTAAAATGAAAGATTACTTTTATATATTACTCTATATAAAGTTTTAATGATCTTAATTTGTATAATATGTACGTTAAATGTCACATGCTATAAATAATGTCCACGACATTGTGCTTTTGTTGGATGCTTGTATATTCACACATACAAATACATAAGAGTTTTGTATTGAGTCGTGATGTTTTGACACCTTAGACATGTACGTACGTAAGTGTGAAATATGTATTAGCATGAACCCCCGTCATTAGATTATTACATCTTGAATCTCTTCAAAACATTATTTATGTATGTACTTTGGCTCAACACAATGAGGCGTCTCAAAACTATTTGTATAAATTTTGATACATATTACGTACGTTTGTCTATCCTATGTCTTTAATTAAAAAACAATTCCCTAGCTAAGATTTTAGACTTCATAGAGTCGGGATGTCGTTTCCCATTAGAAGTTTGTCATCAACCTACAAAACAACGAAGAGTGCAACACTCTCATTAGTCTTGACATATATACATGGTTCGTCTTCATTATTGACAAGACCAAGCTCTTTGAGTTTCTAATAAAATGAAATATTATAGCTAGGTGATGTTTATATGAGTCTATAAATGACCCTATAAAGTTTATGTACACAATCCATTAAGATGTAGAAAATGACTATGTTATTTCATAAACATCCTCAGGCAATCTTCACATATATTTTCCATATCTCATGTTCATTAAATGTTTCTATGGAAATCATTATCCTAATAGACTTTTCATAGCCACTAGTGTAAACCTTTTCCATAAGTTGGGCTTTATATGTATGTCTCTTGCCATCCATGTCAATCTTTTTCTTAAATACCCATTTGCGTCTTACTTTTTTATAGTCAAGTGATTAATCAACCAATTCATATACTTGGTTATCATGCATGGAATGTATCTTGTTTTACATAGCTTCCTTCCACATAGTAGTCTCATGACAAGCCATGGCTTCCTGATAGTTGGTAGGTTCATCATGATATACGAATAATTCATCACCCTGATATGAGAAACCTGTGTATTTTCTGGTGAATGATGTACTCTATCAGACCCACAAACAGTATGTGGCTCAATGTCAGGTTTCCAGTAACTCCTTGTTGAGGCATAACAAGTTCTACAACCTCTTGTTGAGAACTAGTGACAAGATTGGGTTCCCTAACTCCTAACTCTTGAATTTCTTCACGATCAACTTGGCTCCCACCAACCTCATTGGATATTAATTCCTTTTAAAGGACGAATAATCTTCGAGTTTTTTTCCCTTAAAGGGTTCATAAAAATAATATCCATAAGATTGATTAGTATATCCAACAAAATAAATTCTCTTTTATTTGGGTTGTAACTTATCTTGAGCTTCACAAAAGACATAAGTCTTGTAATTCCAGGCCTGTGAATATGCTAGTGATGTAACATATCGACTGTATACTTCAAAGGTTGTTTTGGAAATCTAAATCTCTATACCAGGTTTAGGAATATTGTAGAAGTCTCCAAGGAATAACCCCTAAAAATTAAATGGAAGTGTGATGTGACTCATTATGGATCGAACCTATACAATAATGTTCGATTTCTCCTTTCAGTTACATATTTGTGTTGCAGAGGCCAAGGTGGTGTCAATTGTGAGATAATCATGTAATTTCCTAAATTATTGTGAAACCCTAAACTAAAATACTCACCACCCCTATCAGATATGAGAATCTTAATCCTTTTAATCATATTATTCTCTACTTTTTTTGGCAATTCTTCAACAACCTAAAAGTTTCAAACTTATGTTTAATCAAATAAACATATACATATATTTTGAAATCATCAGTAAGTATAACAAAGTATTTTTTACGTTTCACCAAGTTGGGCACCACCCACTGCCAACTCGGGCGGTGGTGGTCGACGACGGTTCACAGCGGTAGCCACAACCTCACGGTGGTGGTGGGGGATTTTCCTTGATTTCCCGGCCAAAGGTTGTTCATACAACATCACACCATAAAACACACACATAATTGCACCATAATACACACACAACCACCTTCCACGGTAGCTGATGGCGGCAGAGGGCGACAACAAGGTGACTGCCACCATGGTTGGCTGCCATGGTGGTTCCCCACGATTTCCGGCCAACAGAATACATACACACCTCCGGCTAGAACAACAACACACATACCTACACGAACCCACTGAAACACACTCTCACACAGCCACCCTTGTGGCGACAAGCGGCGGTCAGAGAACATCAATCAAGACGAAACAGTCGCAAGGCGGCGACGGCGACGACGAGACCCAACAACAACAATGAAGAGGGTGAATTGGGGTTGCGTCATTGACAGAGAGAGACGTAGCGGCTACTAAACACGTTCGATCGGTCTCCCCACGACCACAATGTCGGGCTCGAAACTTTCACCTTCGCCGGTGATTAGAGCAGTGACGATGATGCTTGACGGTCGCTGTGTGACTAGGAGGCGACGACAACTGAAGTATGGGGGTATAAGGGTGGCGGCTGGACAAATGCGATTAGGGTTAGGGTTCTGCTCCATGCTCCTTCCAAATGGGAGGGAAGGGTAGTGACGGGTTTAAACCCGCCTCCATCACAAACATCCTTTCATTTTTACAATAGTGGTCCCTGACCCCACAAACCCTTTTTCAATTTAACTCAAAAATTTACCAAACATCCCCTGCCTTCTGAATTTATTTGCAAAAATACCCCAAAAATTACACTTTTACCTCAAATATCCAAAATTATGACATTTAACTCCCAGAACCAACACCCTGCTAAATTATTATGGATTTAGGGCTACAATAAAATAATATCAAATATAAATTTACATCTCGGGGTTTGGGGTCACTAATAGAAAAACAGTCTTTTACGACGCGCAATGTGTGTCGTAAAACGCTCAGATGACGCGCAAATGCAGTGGGTTTATTATTTATTTACTTAATTTCAAACGGAATGTTACAACTCTCCCCCACTTAAATTAGATTTCGTCCTCGAAATCATTCCTTACCATTCCTGACACACCCAACAACTTGAGCAACATGGCCACAACCCCGAGCATACCACCATCTTTCCAAGGCAACCGAAACCAACCCTCACTGGGCTCTCCAACCCGCAGATGAATGAATCCCTTCACCATCCGACGATAATCCCTTGCAAATTAACCACAACTACTCAACCTGAAATCTAAAGTCTCGGGATGGTCTGTCTCCCTGACAGACCGCCCAAACCGAACCATTGTTGAGTCCATTCCACTTAATTTCCTAACTGACTACTCAACTTCTGATACCTGAGATTCCCATTAGAAAACATAATCACAGACCAAATATCTCTGCGGAACACTTATACTTGACAGGAGGCTCAGATAATCCTTCGAGTAGAAGACTTATCCCTGCAACGGTTAGACTCAGATGAGAGCTGCGCAACAGGATCAAATCATTTACTCTGAGATTATCCAATCTAACTGCAAGTGACCTAACATTTTCTCTGAATAACAAGCTACTCCACACACGAGTTCCAAATCAATAATACTGCCTCGACTTATCTTGATGCCCTTCACAATTAGGACCAATCCAAGACACAATCACAAGAG